GACTGGGGTGTATTCTGTAAAACTTCACATTTTACATATTTCTAATTTTTTAATTAAGGCAATCGACTTTCCCCCTGATTCAAAATCCCAGAACATGTTAAAGAGAGAGAAAAGCACAGGTGGAGAAAGTTTGATGACTTATTTTCACAGTTCTCACACACCAAGTGTTCATTCTTTTAAAAAACATTTATTGTAAAATATGTATACCATGAAATTTATCATTTTAACCATTTTTTAGGTGTACAATTCAGTGGCAGGAAGTATATTCACAATATCACCATTGTTCGTTTCCAGAATTTTTTCATTGTTGCAAATATTTTAACGAAATACCATTTCGTTAAACAGTAATTCCCCATTCTTCTCTTCTCCTGGGCCCAAGTAACCTCTATTCTACTTTTCAGTCTCTCTGAATTTGCCTATTATAGGTGCCTCATTTAAGTGGAACTATACAATGTTTGCTCTTTTGTGTCTGGCTTATTTCACTTGGCATAATATTTTCAAGGTTTATCCTTGTTGGCATGTATCAGTACTTCGTTCACTTTTAAGACTGAATAATATTTAGGGATCCCTGGGTGGCGCAGCGGTTTGGCGCCTGCCTTTGGCCCAGGGCGCGATCCTGGAGACCCGGGATCGAATCCCACATCGGGCTCCCGGTGCATGGAGCCTGCTTCTCCCTCTGCCTATGTCTCTGCGCCTCTCTCTCTCTCTCTCTCTCTCTCTCTCTCTGTGACTATCATAAATAAATAAAAATTAAAAAAAAGACTGAATAATATTTTATTATATGTTTATCAATTGAGAGACATTTGGTTGTTTTCTCTTTTTGACTATTGTGACTAGTGCTATTATGAACATTGGTACTCAAATACCTGTCGGAGTCCCTGCTTTCAATTCTTTGGGGGCATATACCTAGAAGTATAATACTCATGAGTGTCAATTATAAAGAGAAAGAGAAAGGATGCATATACTTAAATATTATAATTTGTATTCAGGGCTGGACCTAGAAGCCCAAGTAGGTGGATTGAGTGATGCTGAAAATCTACCTTAAAAAAGAAAAAAGAGAAAGAAAAAGGAAAATCTACCTTAACTTCTAAACTATACCTGCAGTTCCACTGCCTCAAGGTATCGGAAAATTCTGTTTTGATGAGGGCTGGTCATTTGGAAAGGTCCAAAGGAGAGCTTATTTTTTTTTTAATGTTTTTTATTTATTTACGATAGTCATACAGAGAGAGAGAGAGGCAGAGACACAGGCAGAGGGAGAAGCAGGCTCCATGCACCGGGAGCCCGACGTGGGATTCGATCCCGGGTCTCCAGGATCGCGCCCCAGGCCAAAAGTAGGCGCTAAACCGCTGCGCCACCCAGGGATCCCGAGAGCTTATTCATAAGAAAGGAAACCTCCCCTGTAATACTAATACCAATAACACGTTGTGAGGTTCTTCATTTTCCCAGCTTCAATGTTTTCCTTTTAATTGATTGGAGTGCCCTCATGTGTCTGTATTTTTAGGCTATGGAATTTTTGAAAAAGATTTGATATTAGAATCATGGAGAGTGAGAAGGATGGGGAAATAGATGATGGGGATTAAGCAGCACACCTGTCCTGATGAGCAGCGGGTGATATATGGAAGTGTTGAATCACTATATTGTATGCCTGAAACTAATATTTCTCTGTATGTTAACTGGAATTAAAATAAAAACTTAAATAAAAAATAAAATAAAATTTAAAAATAGAATCATAAACTGGGGAGGAAATTTAAATACTTTTTTAAAAACCTGAGTATTGACTAGAGGACCCATCTCTAGGCAGTTAAAAAATTTTTTTAAACACAGATCTAAATCACACACCCAAGAGTATTTAAAATGTATAGCTACAATGTGGCCAGTGAAAAAATGACACCCTCTCTAGTGAGAAAGACTACTTACTAGTCTCTTAGAAGCTCCCTGGATGCCCTTCAAAGACTGCATTACCCCAGCTTACTCCCAGAGGTAACACTATACTGAATTTAGTGTCAATCATTGCCTGGCTTCTCTTTATAATTTTACCACTTAGTGTTTGTTTCCCTAAACAGTATCTGGGGGAAGGAGGAGAGAAATTTCCTATTTTTTAAATTCCCAAAATTGAATCCTATTGTATGTATTGTTCTGTGACTTGTCTTTTTAAGTCTAGCTTTTAAGCATATTGATTCATATTTTCAAATTTTTATGGAATTTCAGTTTATGAATATACTCTTGATAGATACTCATATTTTTTCTAGTTATTGAGAATAAATGTTTGAACATTGTTTAACATGTTGCCTGCTGCTCATGTGTAACAATTTCTCTGGGTATACAAATATGAGTGGAAGAGCTGGATCATATGGTGTGCACCAGTCTTTCACATCGTCTTTCTAGGTAACACCAATATTTCCACAATGATGAGAGTGGTCTGTAAGAATTCCATTTTCTCCACATCCTTGCCCATAAATGTTTGTTTGATTTTTACATTTTGGCCAATCTGGGTGAAATGTTATCTTATTGCGGTTTAAATGTGCATTTCTATGATTATTCATGAGGTTGGACATCTTTTCATATGTTTACACATAATTTGTGTTTCCTCTTCTATGAAATGCCTATCATGACTTGTGCCCATTTTTCTATTGGATTGTTTGTACTTTTTTGTATCAATTGATATGTCTGGGGGGGAGCTTTTTTAATAGCAAACAATAGACTTCATACAGAAGAGTGTAAAACAAAAACATACTGCTTAAAGAATAATTGAAAAACTGTGTGGGCAGCCCGGGTGGCTCAGCGGCTTAGCGCCGCCTTCAGCCCAGGGCGTGACCCTGGAAACCCTGGATCGAGTCCCATGTCCGGCTCACTGCATGGAGCCTGCTTCACCCTCTGCCTGTGTCTCTGCCTCTCTGTCTCTCTCCTGTGTATTCTCATGAATACATAAAATCTTAAAAAAAAAAAAAAACTGTGTAACCACCACAAACAAAAGAATGTTGTCAACACTCCAGAAACACCTCCTCTGCACTCCCCCACCCCAATCACAGTCTTTTCTCAGAGGTAATTGCCATTCTGATTTTTTTTTTAAATTTTATTTATAAAATTAAGAGGCAGACGCTCAACGGCTGAGCCACCCAGGCGTCCCACCATTCTGACTTCTGTTAGTGATTCATCACTTTTTTTTCTATAGTCTTATCACCTGGGAATGCACCCTGAACAGTATTGTTTAGTATTGCCTGCTTTTGAATGTTATAAAAATGGATTCGCACAGCATATTCATGCTGTTTCACATTGTTGTAGTCTCATGTAGCTGTAGTTTGTTCATTTTTGTTGTTGTATAGTATTCCATTGCTGTTTGGTACTTTTGTTTCTGTACAGTGCACCTCGATTCACTTAATTATTAATGTACTCGTGATAGAAATGGGGTTTTGTTCTTATGAAAAACATTAAGAACATTCTTAACAATACACTGGATACACTTGAGCAAGGTCTTCTCTAGAGTATATACCAAGCAGCGGGATTGTTAGATCTAAAGTATACACATCTTCGACTTTACTAAATAATCCTAAACTACTTTCCAAAGTGGGTACCAAAGTGGGTATACCAATCTGCATTCACCATGAGTATTAGAAAATGCCCATTAGTCCACCAACAAATGTCACATTTTTGCTTTGTTAGTGAGTGTAGTTTGTTACAAACCAATCACTATGTGTTTTTTTTTTAAAGATTTTATTTATTCATGATAGACACAGAGAGAGAGAGACAGAGAGAGAGGCAGAGACACAGGCAGAGGGAGAAGCAGGCTCCATGCAGGGAGCCCGACACGGGACTCGATTCCGGGTCTCCAGGATCAATCACACCCTGGGCTGAAGGCGGCGCTAAACTACTGGGCCACCAGGGCTGCCCAATACATTTTATTTTTTTAAATTACACTTCAGTGTTTGGGGTACAAATACATGGCATAGTAATTTTTTTAAAAGATTTTTATTATTTATTTATTCATGAGAGACAGAGAAGCAGAGACACAGGCAGAGGGAGAAGCAGGCTCCACGCAGGGAGCCCGACGCGGACTGGATCCCGGGTCTCCAGGATCGCGCCCCGGGCTGAAGGTGGCGCTCAACCGCTGAGCGACCCGGGCTGCCCCTCTCTAGGGTTTTCATGCAATCTCTGACTAGTAACGAGCTTGAGCATCTCATGGTCATTAGCCATGTGGATTTCTTCATTTTAAAAGCACTTTTCAGTTATTTTACCCATCTTCTACTGGGTTGCCTGTTCTTTAATAAAAGCTATGGGACACCAGCTTTTGTCAATCACCCGCATCATGGAAATTGTTTACCACTCTGTGGTTTTTCTTTCTTGATGATGTATTTTAAGGTCAGGTTTCGTGGTTTTCCTTTTTTTTCGATTTAAATCTCGTCAAATTCACCGATCTTCTCTGGTTCCATGCCTTTGGTATCATGCACCCCGATCCACAGATCCTGAGGAGAGTTCACGTTATGCCGCAAAGTTCTCGTTCTGCTGTTCACACGCGGGTCTCTGGCCCACCGCGCGCGGAGGCGCCCAAGTCACCCTTCCCCGGTACACACGGCTGACGACTTCGCGAGCACACGCTGCAGCACGGTCTTCCCCTCCATTGCGCAGCCTCTTCCGTCTTCCCTCCGGCGTCCGGTTCCCATCCAGGTCTTCCTTTATTCCAGAGTTGATGCTCTGCGAATCGAGTCATGGTTCCGCGGACTCACTGATCCCCTGTACCACTCTTGGGTCCTTCACTACGCGGGAACAATGCCCCGCCGGCTTTCTGTCGTGCGAACAACCCGCGGTCACTTCCTCAGCCTCGGAAGACCCACACGAGACGACCCCTCGGAAGCCCCGCCCCGCGGACGCCAACGCCCGCCTTTTTCCTGAGGACGCAACACGCAGGCGCGGCCGGGCCCGGGCTCACGCGCCGCACAAAGAACTGCGCCTGCGCCAGCAAACGCCCCGCCCCTCCTCCCCGGTCCTCTATAAAGCCTCGAGCTTCTCCTCGCGAGAGACTCCGTTCTCATGCTCGCTGCGGGGGTCGGAGGTCAGAGCGAGCGTCTCGCGGGCCGTAGGAGGAAGATGGCGGTGGAGTCGCGCGTTACCCAGGAGGAAATTAAGAAGGAGCCGGAGAAACCGATCGATCGGGAGAAAGTATGGGATCCGGAAAGAGGTGGAGGTGGGCCCGGCGGGGCGGAGAGCGCGGCCTGCGTGCAGGAAGCGGCAGTTTGCTCCCCGGGCTGTAAGAGGCCGCGACGCCTCCGGAGGGAAAGGGAGCCCCGGACCCAAGCCGCTTTCTTTAACTTCTGCCCTCCTTTTCCTCCTCTGCTCCCAGACGTGCCCGCTGCTGCTGCGTGTTTTCACCACCAATAACGGCCGCCACCACCGAATGGACGAGTTTTCCCGCGGAAACGTGCCGTCCAGCGAGCTCCAGATCTACACTTGGTGAGAGCGCGGGGTCCGCGGGGGCGGGACCCGGGGGGTGGTCGGGCATTAACATAGTAATTCCCTCCGTGGCTCCGCTTCCTCCCATTCCGGGTCCTTGGGCCCGGCTCTCAGAAAGTTAGAAGTTTTAGTTGTTAGGTAAAAGGGGATTCTCCCATCTTGTAATACAATTAAGCTTAATGTTCAAACTTTTGGGTTGTGAAGAACTGACGCACCCAGGATTGCTATCACTGTTGTGGCTGCTTGGTATAAAAATACACGTGATAAATGAAATGCAGTAGCTGCCCCTGAAGGGGCCCGTAGTCAACTAAATGGTACCAGAATTACATAGTAAAGTAAATCCTCAAGAGCATTTCTGTGAAATATTAAGCCTTCAGTGCTATAGTATTAAAAAAGGAAATCAACAAAAACCAACTGATTTCTGATCTGGTGCTTAATGGAAAAGCTTTTGATGTGTGTTTCGTGAAGACCTGCCCCTGAATGTTTATGTGTACCTTCTCTACCCCCAAGTCTTTCTAGGGCCATTACATGTTGTAAGCATATCTTTAGAGCTGCATATGTTTCCTTAGTTTGACATCATAATGACTGTGTAGTAGCAGTAAAAAGTTAGTAAGTTTTAAATATATATCTTTATTGTTGTAAAGATGTATATAACGTTACATTTGCTATTATAATTTCTTAAATGTATGATTCAGTTGCATCCGTTATATTCGCATTGTGCCACTATTACCTATTACCAAAACTTTTTCCCTCTCCTTGGCAGAAGTTCTGTACCCAGTAAGCAGTAATTTTCCATTCCTTTCTTCCCCGATAGACTCTAATCTAGTTTATATCTATATGAATTTGCCTATTCTAGGTATTTTACACAAGTGTTGTGTTTGGCTTATTTCAGTGTGACATTTACATTACATTTCATCCATGTTGTAGCACATTCTTTTTTATGTGCACACAACTTCATTTTTTTTATGGCTTAATATTTTAATGGATATACCGCGTTTTGTCTGTCCACTTTTCTGTTGATAGGTACTTGAGTTTCCATTTTTTTGCCTTTTGTGAATAATGCTGCTATGAACCTGGGTATACAAATATCGTTTGAATCCTTTTGGGTATATTCCCAGAAATAGGATTGCTGGAAAATAACATTATTACATGTTTAACTTTTTAAGGAACTAACAAGCTGGTTTTCACAGCAGCTGCACCATTTTACAGCCCCAGAGAGTGTGTAATTTTAAACTGTGAGTCCAGCACTCACTTCTTTAAAGATTGGGACCGTATTTGTCTTTGTGTTGGTATTGGTTAAAGTTATGTAATATGATTTTAGTTCAGCATCATTCCAGGATAAAAGCTCCAGGAAGGTTGATTTAACTTACAAGAAAGAACTGTTACTAATGTATTGATGAAAACTGTTCGGGATTGAAGTGTATACTTCTCCAGGCATCAGAGTTCCTATTTGCCAGGTGCTGTGCTTAGATTCTGAGGGTATGGAGTAAAGAAGGTACTGCCCCTCCACGCAGTCAGCTCAGTCTACTGGAGAAAGCAGATGAATAAATGCTAATTAGGTAAGACTTAAGGGTTAAAATGGCAGAGTGAGATTGTTCCAAAGATCCTTTACTCCTAATCCAGAAAAAAAATTATGTGAAAATTCTGCCCCTAACTGTCCTATCCCTAAACTGCAACCAAATAAAGAAAAGCAACTTATGTTATACCTTAAAATGATGGTCAAAGACAAAAGATTCTGAAAGACTTGTGGTTGGTGTGACAGCACAGAGTCCTGCCCCCTTTTCCAGAAACAGTACTGAAGGAAGATTAGTTAACAAATCTTGGGAATTCTCAATTTGTAGAAGTAGACTGTAGGACTGAATAGGCAGCCCTAAGATAAGTCCAAGAAAAAGGAGTGAAGTCTAGAGGAGCCTAGCCGAAGTCAATTGGGTTTGCCAAAGTTCAAGGCACTGTGTGGAGTTGGAGGAACAAGCCAGACACCACAGGAGTGGTACATCTCCCTTGCTCGGGTGGTCATTAAACAGGTTATTGGAAGGGAAGTACTTAGGTAGCTGTATCAGGGTTTAGCTAGAAAAATGGAACCAGTCGGAGATCTGTATGAAGAGACTGATTGCAGAGAATTGGCTCACATAATTATGAGGGCTGCCTAGATAACTAACTCTCTAATCTATGGGGTGAGCTATAAGGAAGGGCCAGGCTAGAACAAACTCTCAAGCAAGAGCTAAGACTGCTCACAGCAGCCTGAATTTTTTTTAGAGAAGTTGCACTCTGCTCTTAAGGTCTTTTCAACTACTTGAATCAGGCCTATTCAGATTTTCTGGGATCATTTAAATTTAAAGCCAACTAGTTATAGACTTGGACTACACACACAAAATATCTTATAGCATCACCGCCATTAGCGTGATTGAGTAACTGAGACTGCATTGACACACAGAATTGCAAAATTGACACACAAAACAGCCTCACGGTTGCTTAGCAAAGACTTCAGCCCCAAGAGAGCTCTCGCGTTCTTCATGTAGTCAAGCTTTGGACCAGTGGTCAGAAAGCAACACTTGTAGTCCCAGCTGTTGGTCTGGGGAGATGAGCCTCAGGTTGGAAGCTTGTAGGAGAGTCACTGGCAGAACTGATAACAGATGTAAACCAAATTCTGCAAGTTTGTGCGGAACAAGATGACGACGTGGCACATATTTTTAGAAAGGAAGAAAGCACGTACGCATCATAAGTACGGAGGTGTACTAGGGAATACCTGATGTGGGATAGTTAACATCAGAATGTCAAGTTAAAAATCAGCCTTGCCTCCAACTCCACGAGGACAGAGTTAAGACAGCCGGGGAATTGTTGCAGAAGAGGCTAGACCTCTGATAGAATCTCACAGACAAAAATAGCCACAAAATTAGGAGGTGATAGGAGGGGAAACTAAATCTTATCTGGAATTTTATAATTCATTCAATTTTACTTGTTTCTTTTGTTAAATTCGGGTGAGTTTTATTAAAAATATGTATGATATTTGAAGTATGAATTATATTTTTGTATTGTAACCTCAGGATATGTAATATGCTTGATAATCTTGATTTTTTTTTTTCCCCGTAGCATTGTGTATATGTACGGAAAGATGCCTACAATGATGTTAACATCACTGCTTCTTTCTGGTTGATGAGATTTGGGGTACAGTTTGTTACATTTTTGTAAATATGGCTTTCCCACTCTTCAAGTAATGTGAACACGTGTCAAGTGAGAAAGGCAGTCATGCACAGCTTCTCACCCCTTTGTTGTATGGCCGCCTAGAGTGACCTGTGGCCTGGAAGGTTTTCTTGGTTTGGTTTTTTTTTTTTTGCAAAGAGATAAAGAGCCCTTGCATCCTGTGCTGAGCATATGGCTTTGGGAGTATCTTTCCCTGTTCCGGGTTTAATGTGTTCTTTGTTCTGCCTGAGTGCCATTGTATGGCACCTGACCTGCAGTGACTGTTCTGTGGGATTTTTTACTTGCAGCAAAAGAATGGATCATGTAGACTATCTGGGCATTAGCTACAGGGTGTGAGACCTGCTGGCCGTGGGGAACCCACACTCCCATGAAGCTGGTCTTGTACTGTCTTTTTGTAGAGCAAGTAAAGCATTTATCCCTCTGTTGTCTGTGTGAGTTGCATCTGTGTTGGCAGCCCCAACACCTGCAAACTAATGCAGTAGGTTGATGTCCTGGAACCAGGACTGCTGCCCCGGTGGAAGGCATTGTTGTGCTCTTGTTATCCTAGTCACGTGGTTGGACTCCTCCTCTGGAGGTGGGAACAGGTGTCACTTGTGTGACAAAAGTTTTATAAAGAAACTTAAAAATTGAGATGGAGATAAGTCAAGGGTAACATACACAGTTAAATAAGGAGGTAGAAAGAAAGCAATGACAGTGGGGAATGGAGAAAACGATTGATATGTATTTAGGAGGTAGAAACAACAGGATGGAGATGGTTTAAGTGGCCTGCATGCCAGTGTGGAGCCCAAGTCAAGGCTTGAACTAAACCTGGAGATCAAGAGTCAGATGCTCAACTGACTGAGCCACCCAGACACCCCGGTGATGGTAGTTTTGATGGTTCTATGAAAGAGCCAGGACATGTTTTGGGGTGAATACTCTTCAAGAGTGTCCTAGTGTCCCTTGTTTCATTTTATAGCCTTGCATAGGCAACGTTATTTCAGTTCCACAGCATCCATTTCATTCTCCCAGTTGTTGTGAAAGAAAACTATAAAAATTTACACTATTACAGTTTGTTACTATTTTCAAGGTGTTAATATTTTGAAGGATTTTTCCAGGTTGTGCCGTATTAGCACAAAGGACTACGTTAAGTTCTGAGTTCATATAAATATTTGCAGGGCAAGAATATTATTGTGAAAGGAACCTTGCTTAATCCTAAAGAAAATTTAATGGTTCATTGGTTCAGTGGCTCTGTCTACTGTGAAACTCTTAAGATCCATCTTAGAAGGAAAAAAATACATCTTTTTGAAAATGCTTTCCTATCATTGATTCTAACATGTGTTCCAAATTTAGACATGATGAAATGTGGAAAAGTACATGCTTTACAAATAAGGGAATACAATTAATTAATTTTGACTACTCCTAAAGAGTTAAATCACTAGACCAATAAGATTGCTACCTAGCAACAAAAGATAGCAGGTGTAATCCCTGCATTCCCTTTGGGCACTAAATTGTCTGACTTCATCAAAATTTCAGTTGTTATAGGGGCAGAGGGGATTATTAGCTTTAAAATTAAGTCTAGGGGCACCTAGCTGGCTCGGGTAGAGCATGCGACTCAACCTCAGCATTTTGAGTTTGGGGTCCCCCTCCTATGTTGTATGTTGAGATTACTTAAACTCTTAAATAAATAAATAAATAAATAAAATGGACTCAAGTATAAGACAGCTACAATTCTAACAGGTTGCAATTCAGACACACATAGTTAACTCGTTATATGTTAATATTCTTACTATACTGTTGATTAATCAAATGTAATGTTTTCTTTTAAAAAAATTCAGGATGGATGCAACATTGAAAGAACTGACTAGTTTAGTAAAAGAAGTCTACCCAGAAGCTAGAAAGAAGGGCACACACTTCAATTTTGCAATTGTTTTTACAGATCCTAAAAGGCCTGGCTATCGGTAGGTAATTTTTAATTTTTAATTCTTATAATCACTTTGGTTTTTATATGTTTTAATTGATAGGGATAATCCCTTTTAATGAGCCTCTTTAGTTGGAATATAAATATTATTAATATCTGGGCTAGCTTAATGTAGTAATTAATTTTTAACAGTGCCATAAGATAATGGAGCAAATCCAGTCCCGTGTTTACTTTGCAGTGCATATTTAGTTTCATTGGTTTGTGATCCATTAACAGTTGGGTCTCCTTTTCTGCAGAGTAAAGGAGATTGGCAGCACCATGTCTGGGAGGAAGGGGACTGATGACTCCATGACCCTGCAGTCACAGAAGTTCCAAATAGGAGACTATCTGGACATAGCAATCACACCTCCAAATCGGGCACCACCTCCTTCAGGGCGCATGAGACCATATTAAGTTTTATTTACTATTTCTTGAATTATTTTTCAATCAGTTATGTAAAATAAATTCTTTTTCCTTCCCTCATCATTGCCATTAAGCCTTTAAAATCTAAACACATTGTAATGCGTCTATTTAGGAATTAGATTCGGCTATGCTATGGTATGGATATTAATAGAAAGTCCATAGGTTTTGGGTCCTTCCATAAAATACAAAGAGAAGTGCTCTTAGCATCTTGTGTAAAACTATTGTTAAATATATGTGTGCAATCAACTGGAGTGTGAAAGTTCATGAAGGCATGAGAACAGGGTTTGATTTAATATTTGGGGTTTAAGCTGAATAGTGGAGGATGGTATGTTTAAGCCTATATGGGGCAGAGTGAGAAAGCCATGGAATTAAATAGAGTGTGAGTTTGTGGCCTGTTGCCTACAGTTAGAACAAGGGTGAGGTAGCATGGTAGCAAGGCATTTTGGAATAGCATGAGCCGAGGCAAGTTGAAGAAGCCGTTATGTGCTCAAAGAGATTGCCTGAATCAAGGTAGGATGACAAAAAGAGGAGAATGGGTGCCATAGAGAGGGCTTTTTATGTTTTAAAAATGGGGAGAACAGGGCATTTTGAAGACCAGAACCAGTATAGAGGAAACAAGGGTTAGAACTTAGGATCAGGGTGGAAAGGTTTACCTTGAAGGTCTGAGAAGGAAGCAACAAAAGAGGAATCTTAAGCCCCAGGAGCAGAGCCGGGTTGAGGTGACACTGAGTGAATAGGGATTATTCACAGATGGAGTTACCAGTTACCAGGCCGGGGACTGGCTTGTATCTGAGTATCCAACTGGAGAGTCACTGTGCATCGTGGATAAGACCAGCTGGGCTAAACATTTAAATCCTGGCTGCCCACGAGCTCTGTAGCCTTGGACAAGTGACTTAAATCTGTTTATTTGTGAAATGGAGAGGACAGCCCATAAGACTGTGAAGATTAAGTACTTGCCTGACAAGTAAGAAACAGTAAATACTATTAGCCATAGAGAAGTCAAAACGGGAACTGTATCTTCTGTGGCTCTATTACAGTCTTATCTGAAAGTTTTATAGTGTGTGGCCAGGGTGTTGTCAGCCTAAATTGCCACAGTCTGTTAAAAGTGGGAAATTGAAAACGTATATTCCAAATGAAAAAAAAGGTGCTAGTAGTGATTTTCAGTCAGACTTCCGTCACTTATCTTTTACACACAGAAGCAGCCTTTTCAATGTAATGGTTCTGTGGGAGTGGTGTTCCTGTGGCGAAGCCCATCACTAGTGGCAGAGACCAGCCCAGAACCTAGATCTAGTGCCTCTTCTACTTTGAAGTTTACCCCAACCCTTATTCATTCATTCAGATTAGATACTTCTATAAGTCATAAAAATAATTTAAACTTTTTTTTTTTTTTTGAGAAGAGCTATTATTACCTTCCTATTTGTGGGGAAGAAACTGATTTACTATGCAGAGAAGGCAGGTACTAAATAAAGGACCTTCATAAGCCAGTTTTTCTTACGGCATGAACTCCAGTGAGGGCTCTCCTGTAATTCCAGGTTATTCTCCCAGTAGTTGTAAAGCAGTTTATATACTTGGTTCCAACATGGAAATTTTCAAGATTTCAGTCCTCTACCAAAAGTACAGTTAAAGACTACCTAATGGATTTATTATTGACTATGATGCTAAGAATCAGACGACTTGTACTTAGTCCTTATTTACCTCTGGCTTTGGTAAGTATGGCTTATGGGTAAGTAACTGAGCTGTTTCCTCAAATATAAAACAAATAAATGGTCACCATGACAGCACCATGCTCAGTATCCTCACTGCCTCGCTTGCTTAAAGTATTTTGGAGTTGAAATTTTTCCTTTGGAGTATGTGTTCTAACTCCTGTGTTGCTTATAATTTGCCTGTCTTCAGTTTCCTCACCATGTACAAGAACTTGGTATTTTGAGTTAATTTACCAGATCTTCAATAGGGAGTCTTGCTGTTACATTTAGATTTTACAAAACATGACTGGGACCGTTATATCCATAGTAATCACTGGCTCAGGTGATGTTTGAGACAATGGTGTGTACACACATGTGCGCAAGCACACACGTGCATGTGAGAGAGCTATTAAACTGTTAGCTTAGGTTTAAAATTCTAACACTTAAACTGTTATTCTTAAATAAAGAGCTGAACTCAGCCTGCCTCTTTCTATTCAATCAAATTCCAAACTTGAGTACTACTCAGACTGAGATGGCCACACCCTAAAACATTTTATCAGAATTATAGTTAGTGCTGGGCTGAGCTGGGCACAAGGAACTTGACTATTTTCCTCAATGAACTTTCCCAACCAAGCTGCAGGGACTTGTTTCCATTTACAGATGAGCCCAAAGCCCACTTTAACAAGTGGGTCACATGAATGCAAGTACCGAACAAACGCTGAATGCGTATTCCCAAAAGTAGTGTTCTGTTTTGTTTATCCTCAGCTCTGCAACCTGGCTTTTACCTACAGCAATGGGGCAAGTTATTGATAACTCCACAACTGGTTTCTGCCAAGGTGCAGTGGACCAGTTTCAGTTTTTATACAAATCCAAACACTCCTCTTCAATGACACGGTCCTGCTTCTGGTTGGAGTGCCAGAGCAGCCGAACAAGGTCTGTGTGTTCCGAGTTGTGTTCTGTTGCTTAGATACAGGTGGTTTTGCTATTGAGCTGCAATTTCTTGGGAGTCTGCAGTGGAATGAGCCTGAAGGAAGTGTTTATTCATGGATTTTCTTTCTCCTATTATCCCTAGGAGGAGAATAAAGTCTAATTGAGCAATCTTAATACAAAATACTAAAAAGTTATTTTACTAAGCAAAAATCCTGAGCCTGGGAATGTGATACAGAGTTTATTGTAGAAAGGTGTTCTTGTTACATACCAGCCCCAAAGCTTGTTGGGAGGAGCCAGTGAAATGGTGCCTGGTGGTGGATGTGCAGTTAAGAGCTATTTACAAAGAAGGAAAAAGGTCTTTATTGCCCCTTTGCTTTGTGCTTTTGGCTGACAGAATTTCCTGTCCAGGCTAGGAGCTCCTAAGAAAATTTCAGATAGGAGTTGATGAAATTGGAGCAGTTTACATTGTGAATGAGGTGAACCTCCTTAGGCATTTCCAAAATTTGTAGAGTACCTATTGCGAACTGTCAGAAGTAGTAGTATTTATTCCTTATTATTTTAACTCCTCTCACCTTCCAGTACTATACCAGGGGATAAAATATATTTAACATGTGCCTATCCAGTAGCAGCTACTAAGGCCCTGGCAGTGCACAGATCCAACCCAGATATGCATCCTCCCCAAAAAGTCTTACAGTCTAGGCATGGGAGTATAATACGATAAAAGGTGGAGGGGGAAGTGTCATGACAAAGACCTTCGCTACACGAAATGGCATTGGAGCTTGTCCACCTCCTCAAAGGTTGGGTTGGATTTATACTTGATATAGGATCTAATATGAACATGAAAAAAGAAGATCAATAGAGCCCTGAAGTACTATTTTGACTGGAGTTCAGGATAAAAAGGAATGATGCTACTGCAGTAACCTAGGTGAGAACTGCACTGGTGGCAGAGGGGATGGGGGAGGGAACAAGTCCCAGAGATGGTAGGGGCCATCAGCAAGATCTGGTAGCCAAGAAGATCTGGGGTGGGAAATGGAGCAGGGAAAAGGAAAGTCCATCATTAAAGCTACACTTTACTCATCCAGAAAGTCGAGATGATAGTACCTACTTCATAAGAGTTGATCTAACAATTGGTCAATAAATATTTAGAACTGCGGCAGCATACTGAGATCTCAGTGTTTGATGTTATCACTCATTCAGGGACTTAATTGCTAAGTATCTGTAATGAACAAAGCAAACAAGATCCTTGCCCTTACTGAGTTTAAGGTCCAATAGTAGAAACAAAAATCTATGCTTAAAATATTTTATTACAAATTCTACAGAGTGCTGTGAAGGAGGACAATAGGGTGCTCAGAACTAAGCAGAAGGACCTCTTTGGGACTGGGAAACTAACAAACTGGCATTTAACCTTTGACCTGAAACAGATCAGCTGAAATTCCTCTCAAGTAACAAGGGAACTCCAGCTAGCATAGCCCAGGTGTTTATGAAGCATTTAACTGAAAAGTCCTGGGCTAGAGCTTGCTGGCTGCAGGCCCAGCTGGATGATTAGGCTCAGAGGGTCCCACCTGAGCTCCTGCTTACTCTCTTCTGCTAGGGCTACATTCCTGGCATGGTGAGAAGGGGGTGGCTGGGAGCTCCAGGTACGTACGTCTACACAGCCAGAAAAGAAATGTTGTTTCCCAGCAGCTCCCGAAGTCCTAGAACTGGCTCTCGCTGACTTGATGTGGTTATATGCCCCTCACTAACACTGCTTGGTCAAGCCTGGAGCTAGGTAGGCTGTAAATTCTGCAAGGAAAATTAGAATATTGCTTTCCTTTAAAGGGCCAGAAATAGTGGGCAGACAAACCTCAAGCATCTGGGGCATATGGATGAAAGGGTGTTAGGTAAGCGAGTGGGCAAGGAGAGGTTTCTTAGTGTGTATGAAGCCTCATAGCAGGAAAGAAAAGGAAAGGAAAGTTGGCCTGTGTGGCTATAGCATAAGTTGCAAGAGAACTGTGAAAAGTAACCTAAGGTCAGATTATATAGGGTCGTGTAGGCTGTATTAAGGATCTTGGATTTCACGGAGACACTGCAAGGGTTTAAGGGTTAAGCAAGGAAACAAGTGCAAGATCCGAACACTTGAAGCTTGATAAGCAACAGAAACTAGGATCACAGTAGAGAAGTGGGAATGGTCGGGGAAAGAAATTTTGGACAAATGGGGTTTGGAGGGGCATCACAAAACAAGCTGGGGATACTAGCAGACAACCAGAAATGTTTACTACAGCATTTTTTATTTCCCATCTTAAAGCACCCTTTGCTCCTCACCCCACCACCCCTTCTCTTCAGTCCACTGCAGACTTCTGTCCCTAGGTCCCCATCAAAATCAATTCGTGCTGCCAATAACATCAATTTTGCCAAGTCCTGCGGTCAGTTCTCTTTTCAATTCTCAGCAACGTTGACAGAATAGATCACTCAACTCTCCATGATATATTTTCTTCTTGCTTCACTGGCCTCTTCTCCACCTCCCTTGCTAGGCTGCTGTCTCTTTCCATCTCCCAAAGTTAAGAAAACTCCAAGGTTCAGTCCTGAGTTTGCTTTGTTCTGCCCCTCCATCCTCAAGCCTCACCCGCTCTATGGATTTATGTGCATGTAGCTATGGAAATCGGCCAACAAGAGCTTGATGGCAATTTGGAGTTGACCTATATAAAGCTGACCAGAGCTATACCTTGAAAAATAAAACTAAAAATCTTGAAAATGATTTTATACCATACTTAAGCAAATATTAAGTTATAAACACATAGTAATTTCTAGAACAAAGGATTAAATCAAGTTTTGTTTTAATGACAATTTCCTGACAAGATGAAAAGACCACGATGTGACAGCTCTTCACAATGGACTTTGAAGGCACCATCCATAAGAGAGTAATCATTGCATCAGATTTTCCAAACCCAAGCCTTTGAAGCACCTTGTCATGATACTCGCAAACTGTTCCTTTTCAAATTTTTAATTGGTCTCCACAATAGGCTAGGGTCCTCATTTTCCCTTTGGAGCTGCCAAAGCAACAACAATATCTGCATGAACTTAGAACTACTTCCTGCTTATTATACTTAATTGGGAGGGATCCTGGGCTCAATGGACAGAGCAGCCTGAAACTTTCAGAGGGCTCGAGAGGCAAGTGTCTCCTCCCTCCTGGGCTCTTGGGTGACAGTCCACAGAAGGGCACCTGGCCCAGAGAGATCATCAGAACCTTCTAGAGGCTCAGGTCTGTTGAGGGGCCAAACTAAAGAGGTCAGCGGCCATGTCGCGGAAATTGCTGATCTGAAAGGATAAAACTGACACAAAGTAAAATACTGGGAGTAAAAAGAAAATCAGACATCCTGATAGGGTGAGTCTCTGCTTCCAACTGTCAGACCTGTAGTACGATTACCCAGACCTGCAAATAAATGCCTCCCTTTTCCTAAAGTTACTTAAGCTGTCAACTGTAGACAACCGTATTAAAAGTGCTTTGCTGAAATAAGTGTGAAAGGCTCTGAAAGAGTTGTGAGAGGAGATAGGATGAGGGCAGAGTCAGAATCAGGGAAGAAGCCCAGCTCCAGCTGATGGCAACGCCACCTTGCCAGGAGAAGCTTGGGGTGCCCCTGTTGAGTAATAGTAATACTTAAAATTTTTAAATTTTTAATATTGTTTCCTAATATTGCTCAACCATTCTGCTAGATTAGGCAGGATAAATGTAAAATCAAATAGTAATGATCTTTAAAAACTGAATAACTAAAAAACTGAATAACTGAGTAAGACCGAGGTTAAACTAAATCACATTTTAATAAAAAGCATATTACAACAGCGGTGCCTAGCTGGCTCAGTAGAGCATGCTGCTCTTGTTTGCAGGGTTAGGAGTTCAAGCCGCACATTGGGCATAGTGGCGACTTAAAAAATATTTATCATTTTCATCTTTAATATGGGTTGGTTTTTAAAAAGGGAGGAACATGTAAGGAAATGTGAATAACAAAGTAAGTCCAGCTCTGCTTTCATCTGTATCTATTCAGTGTCTACAATGAGAGGATCCACTAGAATTTCTGCAAAAAGATACAATTTAAAAAAAAAAATCAAGTGTAACTAACAGACATCAACAAAACAAATAACAATACTATGACTGTATATTTTTAAACTTCTAGAATAATTGGGTTTGGATTCCCAACGATGTCTTCCAGCTTGCTCGTGTAGGAATCTGAACTCCAAGAATAACAAGCTCTACATCAAAAGAGAAACAGGCTGTTAACCTAGCTGGCAAATGTCAATTAAGAAATTTTCACTACCAAAAAAAAAAAAAAATTAAATTTTTTTACTACCATCTGAATGTTAATTTTTAAGTGTTCTCCTCAAATAACATAGGTAATTTCTTTAGAATGGTAGCATACCTTCACCAGTTTTCTTTGTTGCCAACACCTCCGATGTTTGGTCCTTCGTATTTAGTGAGGAACCCTTTGCTGGGTGGCACAGCTTTCACTGCTACAGGAGTTGTTAGGTTTGAGTTGTATTTTGATAAAATCTGAAACAAAACATATTCCTTTTAAGTCATTGGAACAAAACAACAAATTTGGAAGGTCTTAAAAACCATTCAAGAAAAGCCATGCAAATTTAAAGATATGGGTTATTTGAAACAATTTTTCAGCAGCACAGAAAAGATGGGAGTTATTAGAAATTGAATTTGGATGTGGAGACTTGATTTCTAAAGCCTTCTAAAATGTACTCTAAGATTAGCAGGAGTAAGCAGTAATGTGTCCCTGAGAGCAAATTAGGCCTTTACAATGTTGTTAGGTAAAATATATATACGAAAGAGGCAAAATACATGCTCAAAACAAAGACCAGCTATTAAAGATTATAAAAAGAAGAGTCTGAAATATCAGCTATGTTTTTTTTTTCAGCTATGTTTTTGATACAAAGGTGATACATTAAATACAAGGCATCCCCCCTTTGGCATAGAAATAAAGAGAAGGATCAACTACCACAAAGTGGAAACACCTGATAACTCCTATTAAGACAGAAGATGCTTACTCCACTTCTTAAAGTGCCCAGCAAAACAAAGAGAAAAAGAGGGTAACAAATACTTTCTTGATTATCACAGGTTGAGTCCACTTTAATGGCATTTAGGGATTCTTCCGAGTAGTTTCATCCTTCCCACAGCGCTCCCACAGGCTAGGTCAGTTGCTAGAGCAGTTCTTAACAATTCCACTTGCTTAAGCCATACTGCCGAGCTCTCTAGCTTCTATTAAGGGCGGGACGACTAGTGGTTATTTAGTAGAGCTGGCAGTTGGTATATAGATCAGTAGCAGACTAGAGGTGAATGATGTACTAAGAAATCAGATATTCTAACATCTAAATCAATGCTTCTAAAACAAGGTCCAAAATGTCTCAGGTTCAAGAAACACTGACGTAAGTCATTCGTGATACCCTATCCTGGAGAACTGTAGGTTAAATGACATTTCTGATTTTGCTAGCCATATCTTCAATGGAAACCACAGTCAACAACATGGCAATCACACTTGAAAGATTATAACAAAATATTCTAAGAATACATTTTAGAACATGAAGTTAAAGATGCACCATGAGTGCATAAAAGTATGATGAAGTCATGAGCATGTGCTGAGCTCAGAAGAACATAACAGCACAGAATTTAGATTTTCTCAGTACACAAACCACATTCATCCGATGAGAAATAAGACAGTTTATACATAGCTTTAGCTCCTTAATATAAATATCAAACTTTGAAAAGAATGTATCAGAGAAAGAAATAGCCAGGAAAAACAACCTGGAGAATATCTTCTGGAATAGTAGTTACTTCTGGAGGTGTAGGTGTTCTCAGCAGATTCTCATAAGAAGAGATTACAGGAGAAGAGGGATCCGCAAAACTCTCAAAACACTTGTCTGAATTTAAAACTAATGATGTACAGTCTTTCACTTCCAAATCATTTGATGAACTATTTGTTTTTGATAGTGGATAATTTATGGATCCCTATTGAACAAAAAAAAAAAACCACATTAATTTATGATATAAAATACAATAAACAAATTTATTAGTTTTAGTTCTGTTGCACAAAAGCGACACAGAAGTAAGCACAAAAATGACCTGTTCTTCCTTGACTGATTATTAAAGAAAACTGAGAAAACAAAGAATGGCATATATAGCACAAAATACCATGCTTCATTACTAATAACGGGTGAACTACAGCTTGATATGAAAACTAAATGGCCCTGACTGAATCAGATTTATAACCTTTATAAGATTTTATTTATTTATTCGTGAGAGACACAGAGAGAGAGGCAGAGACATAGGCAGAGGGAGAAGCAGGCTCCATGTGGGGAGCCCAATGTGGGACTCGATCCCAGGACTGCAGAATCACAATCTGAGCCAAAGGTAGATGCCCAACCACTGAGCCACCCAGCCGTCCCTGAATCAGATTTAGATGGATTCACCCACCCAGTTTCAGGCAACACTAAGCTGGGCCAGGTGAGAGTAATAACACAGGTGAGCAAAAGTGTTACCACATGCCCTCACTCAAAAGGGAGAAAGCCCATCTGACATAAGGTTAGCATGCAATACCTGCTAAACTGACCAATCTAGTAAATCTCACCTCTCCAGGGTCAGAGTTAATAAAGAACAAGTCACATCAGTCCAGTGGACTGGTGCCTTCCACACTGGAATACAAGGGGTGGATTACTTGTAAGAGGCAAGTACTAGCAGGCAATAACCTGAGAGATACTTCAACTGATACTAATTGAATTTTGTGGGTCTATAGCTACACTGTCCAATTTAATAGCAATAACCACAGAGGGTTAATTTTAAATTCATCAAATTTTTAAAAACAAATTAGCTCCTCATATACTACTCACATTTCTTTTTAAAAGATTTTATTTATTTATTCATGATAGAGAAAGAGAGAGAGGCAGAGACACAGGCAGAGGGAGAAGCAGGCTTTATGCTGGGAGCCTGATGCGGGACTCGATCCCAGATCCCAGGACCATGCCCTGGACCAAAGGCAGGCCCTAAACCACTGAGCCATCCAGGGATCCCCTACTCACATTTTTTGTACAGTCCAGTCTGCTGCATTGGTTGTCTTAAGTGTTCATAGTGACTTTAAAAAAAGGATGAGAGTGTGCCTGGGTAGGTTAAGTGTCTGCCTTCAGTTCAGGTCATGATCCCGGGGTCTGGGGTTCAAGTCCCACATTAGGTTCTCTGCTCGATGGACACCCTGTTTCTCCCTCTCTTTCCGCCTCTTATTCCCCCTGCTTGTGCTTTTTCCCTCTCTTTGTCAAATAAATAAAATCTTTTTTTAAAAAGGGGTGAGGGTGATGAGGGACAATTACAATAAATTTGTTCATTGAGAAATATTTGGAAAAAGCATAAAAATCACCCATAAATCTATCACCGGGAGATAATCACATCTGGTGTTTTTCTATCCATTCTTTTATTTATTTTTTCCCTGCAATAAAGTATATTGTGTGTATTTGCATATCCATAAGCATGCATGTCACTTTCTATCATCTGTTCTTTAAAACATATACTTCAGTGTATTTAGCTTCTCTGCTACCACTTGACATTCAGATTTTTCCAATTCTTTGCTCCTATAAATAATGTTCCTTCCTCTATAACTTCCTTGTTATAATTCTTTGTGCCAATGTGCCTTAGAATAAATTGATATATGGTTAAAGGGTATGAAAAATTTTAAAGCTTTTGCTATATGCTGCTAAATTCCCCTCCAGAAATACATAATACTTTTTTTTTGTAAAAATACTCTTAAAGTCTCCACTAATCTAAGTCTTTTTTTAAACTAAAGTACAGTGGACATACAATAGTCTAAGTTTTTAAAACAGACTGTTTGAATCTAGAAATAGTAGCGTATATGAGTCATCAGGAAAAGATTAGAACTTCCAATGTTATGGAAACGTACCAAAGTTGTACTGTTCTTTGTAGAAGGAATTTTCAAACCAGGAGTGCAGAATGTAGGTGCCAAGGGAGAATTTGTAGAGTCGGCATCTAAAAGATACAAACAATGGCATGGAAATATACATTTGAAAATAAAGTTGAAATAAACATTTCAACTTTTAGGTTATAATCTTAAGTCAATATAATTTGTGCACTTTATTTTTGATAACAAGAAACAGCTATAGAGTGTGCCTGACTAGACAGGAAGAAACAGAACTTCATATTTGCTTATCTGATTATCATCAGTACTAATAAAAGTTTAGCAAGGCTGCAGGGTATAACAATATATAAAAATGAATAGTTCTAGCGAATGAGCAACAAACAAAAATATAATTTGAGGAAAAATATTTTGGGGAGTGTCTGGGTGGCTCAGTCAGCTAAGTGTCTGCTTTCAGCTCAGGTCATGATCCCAGAGTTCTAGGATCGAGCCTTACATCAGGCTTCCGCTCAATGTGGAGTCTGTTTCTCCCTCTGCCTCTGCTGCCACCCCACCCACCCACGCTAGTGCACTTGCTCTCACTCTCTCAAATTTTTAAAATCTTAAAAGAAAAAAAAAAACACAATTCTTTTCTTACATCAACAACAAAGAAGACACCTACATATTAAAATCTGTATGATCTTTATGGAGAAAATAAAATTTCTGAAGAAGGAAAAGAAGGAGGAAGAGGGCAAGAAGTCACCTGCCTTCTAAGACATTAGGATTTATTCTAAAGTCATAACTGACCATCAGAACTTTTAGAAAGAGATCCCAGAAACAGAATCAGACATCTGATACCTCTAACACAGTGTCATGAAAGTGATCTTAAAAAAAAAAAAATCAAAGAGGGGCGCCTGAGTGGTTCAGTTGGTTAAGTGTCTCTTGGTTTCAGTTCAGATCATAATCTAAGGGTTGTGAGATCGAGCTCTGCCTTAGGCTCTGTGCTTGGAGGGCAGTCTGCTTGAAGATTCTCTCCCTCGACTACTCCCACTCCTCACACACTCTAAACCAAATGAATAAACCTTAAAAAAAAGTAAACGTTAAAAAAAATGATCAGACTGGCAAAATTTTATGAAGTCTACAAATCATCAAGTGCCGGAAAATGAGTGAGAATCAGAACAGCTGCTCTAAGGTAGCAAGTTAGCATTTTCTAGAAAACGGGAAGATTTGCATCCCCTCTGATCTAGAAACTCTACTCCTAGATGTAACACTTGTGTACAAGGAACAGTTTCATTAGAGCACTGCCTATAACAGTAAAAAACAATTACTCCTTAATAAGCAAATAAATAAATACAAAATGACTGATTCATACAACGCTTAACAATTAAAATGGATGAACTGGATTAACACGGATTGAATGAAAAAAAGCAAGTGACAAAATATAATTTTGATGTTGCAACTTAAATGAAATTTTCAAACAATACAGTTCTTCTTTAGAATAATCATCACTTTAGGGGAAGAAGGGATGGGGTTTATAATGGAGTAGGGATTTAGCTTTATGTATAAACGAAGAGAATGATGGGAAGCAAATACACTAAGATGCCAACATCTACTTAATCTGAAATGTCCATGTATATACCCAAGCCCCTGGGATTCTAAAACAAGCACAGACAGAAGGCATGAGCACAGGCTTTAACCAAGGAGGCAGTGAAATGAAGCACAGTGTATCAAGCCGAGAGCCTGGAAGAGCCGTGAGGTCTGTGAAGCAGCAACTGGAAAACATCTGCCCCCTGGTGCTGGCTCCAGGGGAACAGGATGAAGTCAGTGAGGCTAAGAGAAGTCAGCTAGGCTAATGGTAAAGCCTTCAGAAAAAAAATTGAAAATCAGAAAATCAACTCCACACAGCCCAGAGTTGTGGGTTCTGAGTTCACCCTACATGTACAGGAACCCCGAGTCAAGCAGTTCACCTAAAAACCTGAGTGCAATTGGCCAACAGTGAGGCCTTGGTTGAAGTGAGCATGGAAACCCCAGGGCTTACAGAACTTCCACAGAAAACAGCATCATCTGAAAAGAGGTTCACAGTTAAAAATTAAAAGCCCGTAAGGAAACGCACTTCCGAGAAAGAGAATCAGAGCAATAAACAAAAGTATCAACATCTTAAATAGTCTCCAGATAGAAATGTTTCAAATATTCAAAGAGATAAAGGAAAGCACAGAAATCATGAGCCAAGAGAACAATATTATGGAAGGGAAAAAAAAAAAGCAGTCACATTTGAAAGAAAGATGTATAAAACAGAAAAATGTAGTCACTGAAGTAAAAATTCAATAGATTAATAATTTAGACTCAGTGTAAGAGAAAAATAGCAAAGTGAAAGAAGGTTCTAACTCAAGCACAAAGTAGCATAGAGAAAAGGAAGGAGAAGTTAACAAACCAAAAAAAGAAAAAAAAAAAAAAAAGAAGTTAACAAACCCAGAAGACCGAAGAACAACATTCTAAAATATATCTTAAAGGAATTCCAGGAGAAAAAAAATTGAGGAATTACAGAAGAGGTAATTTTATTCAAGAGATAATCTCAGAGTATTTTCCAAAATTGATGACATAATGATGATTTCCTTAGTTTGAAAATCATACTGAATTCTAAACATAATAAATAAAAACAATAAACAGGGATGCCTGGGTGGCTCAGTGGGTTGAATATCTGCTTTCACTCAGGTCATGATCCCAGAGTCCTGGGAGTGAGTCCCAGGGGCTGGGGGGAGGGGGACACGGGGCGGCCATCCCTGCTCAGCCACACTCGTGTTCTCTGGCTCTCAAATCTTAAAAAAATAAAAATAAAATAAAATAAAAATAGTTTAAAATTAGAGAAATGCAGAATATCAAAGATAATGACAAAAATCTTACTGACTACAGGAAGAAAAGACCAAAGATCTACAAAGGAAAGCAAATCAGATCCACAGCACTCTGTTCATCAGCAATGGATACCAGATGACAATGACAAAATTTCTTTATAAAATACTGAAGTCAGCTGTCAACCTATTGTCTATATCCAGCTAAATTATTGCTCAAAAATGAATGAAAGTGAAAGAAAAAAACATGTCTTCAAACACAAAAGCAGAGATGACTGCTCACAGACTAGAAATACCATCTCTGAAAGAAGTGCTGAAGCATGTGCTTTAACAAGAACAAAACTATACCCAGAAGGAATGAGTGAGATATAAAAAGCAATGGTAAATAAAGAAAATGGCAAACAAGTGACTAAATTTTCATAGGTATAGACTGTAATAATGGTAACTTTTGCAGGGGAAGAAGAGGGTCAAGCTACAATACAACAGAAACTCACTTTAAAAAAAAAAAGATTTTATTCATGAGCAATGCAGAGAGAGAGGCAGAGACACAGGCAGAGGGAGAAGCTGGCTCCATGCAGGGAGCCTGATGTAGGACTCGATCCCGGGACTCCAGGATCACGCCCTGGGCCGAAGGCAGGCACTAAACCGCTGAGCCACCCAGGAATCCCCGGGATAGTACTCTATAAACTCAATGTTATGAACTGAGAAGATGCAGAGGGGCTATAAGAATGTCTAAGATGACAGAATCATTTTTGTAAAAAGATAATCTAGAAGGAGGATAGCTGAGAAGTTAATGTAATTGTTACACTTACCACTTATTTTCAAATCCTGGATTATGATGCCAGGAGTGGCAAAGAAATTATTACTGGTCACTGGTTCTGGTCCTATCACCTCTTCACTGGTGTGATTCATAAAGAAATTTTAAGATTAAAAAATAAAAGTTAATATTGAGTCTCTGTGAAAAAGTTCAATTTTACTACATATTATATATCATCAAGTCTGGACAAATGTTCAGTTCTGTTTTACGGAACAGAAGTCCCATGGAACTATTCTTTTTTTAAAAAATTAACATATACCCATGACTCAAAAAAGGTTATGAACCACTTTGTATTGACAGGTGTGGCTCAAAAGTGGGTTAAGACATTCTGACTTAAGGGTATACCATAAGTTTAACTCATTAGTTCAAATACAGAAATTATAGCCCATGGCTTCAAAACCATCAAGTGGAATTTTGCAACCAGTTTACAGATATAAGTTAAGAACTTGTCATTTTGGGGGGCAAATGGGTAGCTCAATCAGTTAAGCATCTGCCTTAGGCTAGGTTCATGATCCCAGGGTCCTGGGATTGAGCCCCCACATGGGGCTCCCTGCTCAGTGGGGAGCCTGCTTCTCCCTCTCTCTCTGCCTGCTGCTCCTCCTGCTTGTGCTCGCTCTCTGTGAAATAAAATCTGAAAAAAAAAAAGAGAACTTGCCATTTTTTTAGACTAAAAAGACTGATCCCTATCATCTAGTTACTAAAAATATTCTAGCCAATTACCCAGATATCTGAAATACAGTTATAAAGACGAGTGTCATCAAATACTATAAGTTGGTTCAATTAACCGATTGTCCTAGCATAATTTACTGAACATTCTTAGTTCAAAAACACCTTCTTATATATAAATTATATAAATTAGAGTTGCTTTCTTGGCTCCACTTTTATTTTTTTTTTTTTAAAGATTTTATTTATTCATGAGAGACACAGAGAGAGAGAGAGAAGCAGAGATACAGGCAGAGGAAGAAGCAAGCTCCAGGCAGGGAGCCCGATGTGGTACTCGATTCCAGGACCCCAGGATCATGCCCTATGCCGAAGGCAGGCACCCAACCAGGGAGCCACCCAGGGAGCCACCCAGGCATCCCTGGGCTCCAGTTTTAAGTCTATTCTATTACAGTTTTTTTTATTATAGCTTTATATATTTCAATATAAGAAGGTCAAATTCCCATATTACTATTTTTCATTACTTTTTCAAGCTACTCCTATTTTTATTCTTCCAAATAAATTTTAGAATCATTTTATCAAATATCCCTTTCTCCACCTTAAAAAAAATCCTAGCAAGGCTTTGTTGTAAATGTATGACATCTATAAATTAATTTGCTGTGATTAAACATCTTATTAGCAATATCCAATAAATTCGGATGAAGAAAAACATAATTTTCCCTAATTTCCCCTTCATGAAATTCAGAAATGTTCTATGGTTTTTATCATATAAGACCTTTATCTGTGACTGATGTTGGTATTTTACTTTTTTGTTGCAAACATGAATGGATTTTTTCTACTTTGTGTAGAAATTATTTATTAATAAAATATAGGAAAGCATATTATTTTAAATGGTTATCTTACAATTATATAAAATATATCTTCTATCAGCCTTTCTTGAAGATCTAGATGTGAGTTTCTTGAGTTGCCCACATACAAAACACAGCCTAGACATACTTACTGGCCAGAGTATCAATAATTACATGAAGTGATGATAACAGCTCATTATTAAGTGATATATCCAGTTTATCATGTTAATGAAGTATTCAATTTAGAGTTTGATCAAGCTTTTTAAATGAGGGATGAGCGTCAAATTTTATCAATTCCTTATTGGTATCTATTGAGATTACCCTGTTATTAAATCATTAAAATAATGTATTTTATGAGTTGCTAAGTATTAAACTATCTTAGCATTCTGAGGATAAGCTTAACTTGAAAGTTGCCCACTGTATTTTTAATATTCTGTTAATTCAATCTGTTTTTTTTAATTGGGATTGTACATACATGTTCATAAATTAGATTGGCTATAGTTTCCTTTTGCATGCTTTGTCAGTATTTGTATCAAGGGTATATCAATCTCATAAACTAAACTGCAGCATTTTTCTTATTCTACTTTCAGAAGAACTTTTTTTAAGTCTATACTCCAATAAAACTTTATTTACCAAAAATAGGCAGCAGGCTAGATTTGGCCTGTAGCAGTAGTTTGTAGACCTCTGATAATGACAGTTCTTTTTAAAGGTAATTATTTTCATAGCATCTCATTCTTAAGGCAATTTATAACTTCGTTATCCATTATACCACACTGACTTTGTGTGGTAAGCAGAATGGGAATGGTTATATACATATTTTACTAGTGAGGAAATGTTAAAACAGGTTTCATCAACCTGAAGGTGCTGGGACCCACAATAGAATGTATATCTCTTCCTCATAAAAATAACTTTATATGTGAATTATATATGTTCTATGAAATTATGAAAGGATTCATCAGAAAACCATCTGTGCTCAGAGCTTTTTGGACCTAGTTCTCTGATAGCTTTTTCCATTTTCTTCTCTGACTTTGGTCTATACAGGTTTCCGACTTCAAGTTCATTTTGATAGCTGTGTATTATTTTCAAAAAATTTTCCCTTATCTGAACTTTGCAAATTTTCCCATACATACTCTGTAGTATTTCTAATAACTTAAAGAAAAAATATAGCCCTTAGTTCCTAATTTTGTTATTTGCATTTATGTTTAAGTAAGAACCAGTTCTTAGATTTATCAACTCTAAGCTTCTAAAAATATTTTCTAATACATTTTATTTTATCTTTGGTGTTTATTCCCTTCTCTTTGCCCTACAACTGTGAGGTTTTTACTTGACTAAGTTGAATGTTTATTTTCCTTCTTTAATAATTACAGTTCTGAAAGATATGGATTTATTTTTAGCTATTGCTTGGCTGCTTTAATACAGGGTATTTTCCCTTTCGTTGTAGCTCTTTAAGTACTACTTCCACGCTATTCACTCCCAATTTCTTTAGTTCAGGACAAAACTGATCACAGAGCTTCCGATTCATATTAAAATACTCATGCTCAAGCACCTCCACTGGGTCCTCTAAATCAACCTGGAAACACATCCACCTTTAATTTAACCCAAGCTGCAGGTATTCCTGTCTTCATTTTTTGCCTGAGATCAGCAAAAAAATAGAAGTCTTTGATTTAATCCTGGACTCCCAACTGTTCTGTTCTCACATCCCCATGCAAAATCATTCACAGGTTCTTACTGATTCTATCCCTTCTCTACCCTGCCAAATGCCATCTGTTTTCAGGTCTGTATTACTCCTATAGCATCTAACTGGAAATTCAAGAGCTCACACTTTCCTCACGGAATTGGTGACTCAAGAAATTTGAAATGTGAAGTATCTCAAAAACCATTCGAAGCAAAGTTACTGTCTGAAATATCATTATCTCTTCTAGGAAAAGTCAATACATACAAAAGATTTAGAAAGTTAGATAAAATGTGCCTTTTATGAAAGTGGCTTACCTTTTATTCTTCTTCATATTTTTAAGTCCCATTGTGTAATCTTCATTTAAACACGCAGTATAGTCAGAAATACCAAAGTGTTCTAATTTAGGAGTTACACACTCAAAATCATCCATCTTTAGAGCACATTTTGGCGTTTTTAGTTCTTTAACTAGTGACTGTTTGGAAGATGGAGTTAAATTTTTTGGCTCTTCCTCATGGTTGTTTACTGCCTGTGGAGGGTTTGGTGGAACTTGGGATATCATGTACCGCTCAAGTCCAAAATCAGAAAGTTGTGGACTCCGTGGAGACTTCTCAGAACCAGAAGTGCTTGGAATAGCAGGATCAGACAGATTGTTCTTTACATCAGTCATCTGAAAATTTTCATGCTTCATGGACTCAGATTCAGAGTCCATGATTTCTTGTTCATCCACTGTGAGGAAGAACCAAGGAGGTCATCATATTTTGGTCAAACATCAAACCACAAAATCCCATGTACTACATATATACAAACAATAAAAGATCTGTTTGAAATGTCCCAAGACAGGGATCCCTGGGTGGCGCAGCGGTTTAGCGCCTGCCTTTGGCCCAGGGCGCGATCCTGGAGACCCGGGATCGACTCCCACGTCGGGCTCCCGGTGCATGGAGCCTGCTTCTCCCTCTGCCTGTGTCTCTGCCCCTCTCTCTCTCTCTATCATAAATAAATAAATTTAAAAAAAAAATGAAATGTCCCAAGACAGCAAAAGTCCTGATTCCCTGCTTAGTCTCTAAAGTTTTGTTTCAATTGTCTCTTTAGGAAATTTCTTACATGTATCTCTCATCTAGCCATATTCCATTTTGATGACCTATTTAAGATGTAAACTAAAATGTTAAAAGATGAAAAATCAATGCAAATAAAAGTCCAATATGCTTACTTCTCCAGTTATACTGTGATTTACCTATCTTCCCTAATTGTGGAACCATTTCATCATTTTATGACATTACAGAGTGGAATTAACTGTTCTAGATTTAATACAAAGTATAATATTATTTTATATTTTTCATTTAAAAGGAGTTAAATGAAAAGACTATAAGTTAAAATGAAAAGATTGGTACACCAAGATAAGTTTTTATCCTTAGTCTGGAACACCAGTATCAAGAGCCTGGTTGAGGAAAATAAAAGGAGAGTAACAGAAAGACATAAAGTTTCTCAACCTGGAATAGGTTATATCTGGCTCCAGATCCCAGATGCTTAACCACACTGAACATTTCAGACTAAATAATTTAACAACAACTATGCTTTTCCCCACAATCTTTTTTCATTTCCTGCATACATAAATGGTTAATGAATTTGGTGTGGGACCCAAATTGCAGTTAAAAGGTCTGAGATAGCACCTATGATGCCAAAAAGAATCCAAGAAGGAGAAATACTAGCTTTTCACGTGAGACAAGAGAAAGTCATAGAGGATAACCAGAAAGAAGTGGATCTGGCCAGAATCTGGGCAGAGATTATCTTAATAAACGACAGGGTTTCAGTGAGATAAAAGGTATGGAGCATGGAATGGGTGTAAGAAAATGCTGAAGGACAAATGTAAAATGTGTAGCATGAAGTGGAAAAGAAAAATGAACCAGTATTAGAAAGGGCACCAGAAAAGAGGAGAAAATGGAGGGTGAGATGAAGAGAAAAGACAATGTGTTTAGAATCCCCCATGGAACAGGCATTTGAATGTTTCATTCCATTTAATTTTCATATTAACTGTTTCAAGCATGAAATATCTCAGGATTTTTTTTCCCCTCGTTTTTATAAATAAAGATACCAAACAACATTTTGGAAAATACTCAGCTGATAAAATTTACAGAGCCAAGACTTGGGATCCTTGGGTGGCTCAGTGGTTTAGCGCACCTGCTTTCGGCCCAGGGCGTGATCCTGGAGTCCCGGGATTGAGTCCCACATCAGGCTCCCTGCATGGAGCCTGCTTCTCCATCTGCCTGTGTCTCTGCTCCCACCCCCCTCTCTCTGTGTCTCTCATGAATAAATAAATAAAATCTTTGAAAAAATAAAATAAAGAGCCAAGACTTGGACCCACATCCTTTGATTCCTAATGCTGCCATTTGTTTAAGGAGAGAGGAAGTTAATACAAAGATCTGTTTTAGATGAATAGATACCATTTGGTTGCCAAATTGGAAATATCAATTGTAATCATTGCACATATTGAAAGAAATGGGAAAGGATCCCTGGGTGGCGCAGCGGTTTGGCGCCTGCCTTTGGCCCAGGGTGCGATCCTGGAGACCCGGGATCGAATCCCACATCGGGCTCCCGGTGCATGGAGCCTGCTTCTCCCTCTGCCTATGTCTCTGCCTCTCTCTCTCTCTGTGACTAGCATAAATAAATAAAAAAACTTACAAAAAAAAAATAAAAAATAAAAAATAAATAAAAAATAAATAAAAAAAAGAAATGGGAAAAAAATTTCTCCAAAATTTGTTTGTTGCATTCTTTCTAAGAAGAAAGTATTTGTACTTTTCTTGTTATGAACTGGAATGTATTTTTGTAAGTCTGGTAATGACTGTTTTTGTTTCTGTTCACTCACTCTTTTAAAGGAAGGTCTATAGTTAAAATGGAGTCTATCAGACATTGGTATAGATCCCTGCCAAAATCTTCTGGATCCAAAGGAATAGGAAAGGGATAAATTTAGACTGTATATTTCCTGGGCCAGCTAAGAGATCCAACAGATTGGAGGAAGTGAAGAGGAGCATATTTTTTCTTTAAAGGTAGTGTTTTCTTTGTTTTGACTGAAAACAGGAAATGAACTAGAATTGGGTACTATTTTTGGATGCATGATAAACCAGGACATGTTAAATATGGAGTAAGAACCATTAAAAAAAAAGTTACAGACTTTGGCTTCATGGCTTTTGGCCCTTGGAAGAGCTGCTAATTCACTGAGTTCTGTTTTGGCACTGTGTTATTCTGAGAAATGTTATAAGGGCTACCAAAACCCTATTCTAAACTTGTATTTTATCACAAGGCTATTGTTGATGAGATTAACAAAATCATCACCATTATCTCTGCCTCATAGTAAGGTATAATCAATCCCATTTTGAAAGTGAGGAAAAAGCAATTCAGAGAAATTATCCAAGGTCACACACATGTAGTAACTGGGGGAGCCAGTACTTGAATCCACAGCTGGTCACACTAAAGTAAACTGAATTCTTTCCACTGTACCATGCAGTCTTGTTTATTATACCCTCTACACATGTCCTCAATATATATTTGTTAATTTAATTAATGGTTTACTTATGTACAAAGATGGTTCTCTTAACAGAAACAAAGACAATGAAGCATATTGAAATCATAGGTATGGGTCCAACAGTAGTTAACAATGGGTGATTAACATGCCAGGTACTGTTCCAAACAAATTTTTATCTCATTCAATCCTTCTACAGCCTCAGAAGTCGATATTCCACTTTATAGATGGGACACTGAGGTATAAAGTTAATAAATAGTAAGTGGTCAAAGATAATACAGCACTAGCTGTATTAACGGTGGAATTAGAGATTTGCATTTAGATAGTTTGGCTCTAAATTCTAAATCACCATGCTATACTAACCTTCATTAAAACTACAGAACTTAAAAAGGCCTTTATCAGTTTATAATGACCAAAATTTCTCATTCTACAGAAGAGAAAATTGAGAACAAGAAAAAGGAAATAGCAAAGTTTAAGATTAGTCTCTCACCTATTTATTGGCAGAGGTGACTAGAAACCAGTCACCTAGTATCATGTAGATTTACCTTATACTCTTCTGTCATCTAGCATTTTGGAAAGAAAACCAAGGACTACCTTTGTTTTACACCACCAAACAGCATCCAGGCACAGTGTTTGATGAATAAATGATTATACATGACAGTCACATAATGGCAGAGCCAGAACCAGAAACCATGGCCAAGCCTAGAGTAGTCATATTTAATCATGCTGCCTTCCTTCTTTAATACTAAAACAAATACCATAAAATGCAAGTTATTCACACCTGAATTTTTCTTGGCACGTGGATTATATCCATACTTCTGGAAAAACTCTCTTATTTTCATGATATCCACTGAATTTTTTTTCATCAGTACTTTTGTTGCCTTTATGAAACCAATGCTTTCTTGACTTCCCAAACTTGTTTGATCAAGAAGAATACTGACATCATCCTTTTATAAGGAAAAGAAGTACATTATAATTTATCTTTTGACTAAGTCTATTTAGATTTTTAAAATTATGACACAAAGATGATAAATTAATATTGTAGAAGCAATACCTTTAGAGTCTGGACTTCTGAATGAAGGTCATATAAAATTCTCATTGGATAATCTTCACAGTCTTCAATATGAATAGAGAAAGGAAAAAGTGCAATAAGGAAAAGGAAAAAGAAAATATAATTTAGTATTGTTTCTTAGAATTATAAAGTCCCTGTATATATTTATTCATAATTTATTTCTTGTCAATTACAGGAAAAAAGTGTTAAGGCCTTTCTTTTAAAATTTATGAAATTACAACATATATACAGAAAAGTACAAAAGTCATAAGTATATAGCTCGGTGTACTTTGAAAGAAACATACCTATATAATCAGTACTCAAATCAAGAAGGAAAGAAGGGAAGAAGGGAAGGAATAAGAGGAAATGTAATCCTACCTAGCAATTTTTTTAAGGTGAGCACTTTCTGGTTCCTAGTTTTAAAATATTTGCCAATGACAACACTTTCATTTTCTTCTAGGTGCTTTTATTGTTTGCCTTTTGCATTTAAAGCTACAATCCACCTGGAATTGATGTTTTTATATGGCAAGAGGTAAGGATCAAGATCCATTCTTATTTTCTATATGAGTGTCCAACTGACCTGGCACCATTTATTGAAAAGACATCCTTCAACACAGCGTATTGTCGTCTTTCTTATTAATCAGTTGTAATATGTATAATATTTATCATATAAAAAGTTTTAAAAATAATTGTATTTCTCTTTCTAAAATATGCCTCCTTTGAGGATCTCCGTTCACCAGTTAAAAGTTGACCACTTTTCATTTGGGAAATGCAAGTTAACACAACAGTGATTCTTCACACCCATTAGAATGATTATAATCAAAGTCAGAAAATAATAAATGATAAGGATGTGGACAAACCACAACCTTCATTCATTGCTGGTAGAAAATGTACAATGGTCCACCCACTATGGAAAACATTTTGGCAGCTCCTCAAAAAGTTAAATATAGGGTTATCATATGACCCAACAATTCTACTTCTAAGTGCATACCAAAGAACTGAAAACATTCAGTTGACTCAAAAATTCACCCACAAATTTTACATATAGTCACATGGCTAAAAAGTAGAAACAACCCAAATGTCCATCAGCTGATGAAGAAACACAATGTGGCATAACCATATAATGGAACATTATTCAGCAATAAAATGGAATGAGGTACTGATACATACATATGACATGAATGAACCTTGCAACATTATGCTATGATAAGTCAATCCCAAAAGCCTACAAATTGTATGGTTCCTTTTTTTAAGATTTTATTTATTTATTTCAGAGAGAGAGAGAACAAACAGGGAGGAGGGGCAGAAGGAGAGAGAACCAGACTCCTTGCTGAGGAGGGAACCCAACGCGGAGCTTGATCCTAAGACAGAGAAAATAGTGACCTGAACTGAAGGCAGGCATTTAACGGACTGAGCCACCCAGGCACCCCTATATGGTTCCTTTTGTATGAAATATACAGAATATGCAAATTTATACAGACAGAAAGAAAATTAGTGGTTGCATAAGGCTAGTGTGGTAGGTGGAGATGGGATTATGGGGAGTGGATATAAACAGTCACGAGGGTCTCTTCCGAGGGTGATGAAAGTCTAAACTTACTGTAATGGTTGCATGACTGTGAATATATCAAAAATCATTGAATTATATCTTTTTTTTTTTAAACAATGATTTATTTATTTTAGAGAGAAAGAGCACAGGGGAAGAAGGGGCAAAGGGAGAGGGAGAAAGAAAATCACCAGCAGACTTCCTATTGAGCTTGGTGCTCAATGTGGGGCTCCATCCCATGACAAGATCATGACCCGAGGTGAAACCAACTCAACCCACTGAGCCACCCAGGTGCCCCTGATTGTATTCTTTAAATGCTGAATTTTACAGTACGTGAATTATAGCTCAGTAAAGAAGTTTAAAAAGTCCATTTAATGATTCATCATTGTGATCATAAAAAGGTGAAATTGGTGGTCATTTTCTCTATCACAATCCCATATTTTCTGTAACACATATTAGCCACAAATAGAAATATTATTCCAACTTTTCATATAAAACCAGAAGAAAATGCAAAATTTGTGTACACAATTAATATGGTAAGAAGGTAAATTAGTGCAAGCTTTGTGGAAAGCAATTCAACTATATACCAAGAATCCAAAGAGGAACCTCGCTGGCTCAGTCCCTTGGGTATGTGACTCTTGATCTCACAGTCATGAGTTCAAGCCCCACATTAGAAATGGAGCTCACCAAAAAAAAAAATAATAATAATAAAAAAAAGAGAGAGAGAGAAAACAAAAAATAATAAAATATTAATAGGGTATCCTTGAATCATTGAGTTATAGCAAATATTTATCTCCCTCTTTCTACTTTTCCACATCTCATTGTTGTTTTACATATTGTTTCACATATTGCAGTCAAAAGAATAAACATTTTTAAATGGCTGGAACACTATTCATAATTTTACTAAAGTAAAAGGAGTCTCTGTCTACAGGGCACAATATTTTAAGGCAAATTACAATTACGACATCTATAAAATAATCTCAAAATCTGAACTACTCTTGAAACAATTTCTTAAGAAATTCCTAACACAAAGATTAATGGTTAAGAATCCTGTTATACTTATTTTTTTAAAGAGCAGTATTCAGGGGTGCTTGGCTGGCTCAGTTGCAAAAGCGTGCCACTCTCGATCTCTGGGTCGTGAGTTCGAGCCCCACCTTGGGTGTAAAGATCAGTTAAAAAAAAAAAAGGAAGAAAGAAAGAACGCAGCAGTATTGAGTACTAGTGTTTGTGTCGGCAATACGGTTTGCTGGGGCATACAGGCATCTCCTGCAACTGTGGATCATTTGGGTGAGACAGTCACGATGGATGTAAAGAGCCCTGCTAAATAACTGCGTTTTGTTTCATTTTAATTATACTATATTTTTATCGATAAACACCCATGATACTGTGACTGACTTGAAGGCAATACGCGTAGGCATAAATTATCGTATGCACGACGAGCTCAATCTGTCAATTTACACTGTTAGCCTATGCTGTTCCTCCTCGCAGCACAGTAGCAGCGCTGTTTCATTATTTGAGGAAAGCAAACGAGCTCGGACACAGAACCCCAACAGCCACAACGTACTTGAGGGGGCGGAAGAATAAATGATGACAAAGCGGCAACGGTCACCTCGGGACTCTGCTAACGACAGACACCGGCATTTTAGCAGGCGTACCGTCCCCATGCCGCAGTCTTTCGAGGCAGTCCCCGCACTGTGCACGAATAACCCTCCGGCGAGTGTGCGCATCTTCACCGCAAGGCCGAGCCGCCCCGCCCCGCCCCGCCGCTCTCCGGGCTGCGGAGCCCCGACCCCGCCCGCCCGCCTCACTCACCGCTCTCCTCCCCGTCCAGCGCTCGCTGCAGCCGAGCCGTCTCCCTGTCTAGTGTGATGGCCAGAGACCGCAGCTTCGCGTGGAAGCTTCGGACCAGGTCCATGGCTGCGGACGGCTCGTCAGCACACCAGAAGCAAAGACACCCCGCCGCTCGGCTCGCGCCCGCCTCGTTTGAATCCCCGCGCAGAAAGCGTCTCTGGCTGGGCGGAGTCCTACACTCCTCTCTCGCGAGAGCTGAAGTCTCGCTCGCGCTCTTGGGCACGGAGCTTCCGGGGGGGCGGGCGCACTTCCGGGGTCGTGCCCGCTGGCTTGTGGAGGCTGTGGGGTGTGTTGGGGAATGCGGTCGGTGAGTTGATTGGCACGTTTCGTTGTTTCGGGAGTTCCCCCTTATTTCCCCGTAGATCCTATTTGGGCTCCCCGCTTTTTTGGGGGGTGCGGTGTGCGTTCTCGCGGGTGGCCGAGCGCGTGGCCATTCCGTGTGCGGCTCTGCCCTTTCCGCAGGTGCCATGTTCCTGACGGCTCTGCTCCTCCGCAATCGCATCCCCGGCAGGCAGTGGATCGGGAAGCACCGGCGGCCGCGGGCCGTGTCCTTCCAAGCGAAGCAGAACATGATCCGCCGGCTGGAGATCGAGGCAGAGAACCAGTACTGGCTGAGCACGCCCTACCTGTCGGCGGAGCAGGAGTACGGCCACGCGGCGGAGCGCAGGGCGGCGGCCTTCGAGGCCATCAAGGCGGCCAAAATGGCCAAGTTCCCCCCGCACAGGTTCGTGGCGGACCAGCTCGACCATCTAAACGTCACCAAGAAGTGGGTCTGATCCGGAGCCACGGATTCACAGGGCGGCCACCCACCTCCTGACCCGATTCTGGAACCTCTGAAGAGCGCTCACTTGATAGCTTTTGGTGCAGGCTTAGTGAACAGCAGACATGAGTGTGTGGTCTGCATGTGGGGTGTATGGGGCTCCAAACTCTATAGCCCAGGCTCTGGCGTAGTGTTTCCTTTCCATTACCCTAATAGGAAGATACAGGTATTTCCTAGGCCACAGAAGATACAAAGTGTATTTTGGATGAAAGTCTCAAAAAAACAAAAAAACTACGAACTGTGCTTAAGTATGAGATACTTGGTGGAGGCTTACCTTTCTTCAAAAAACAATTGCCTAAACGAAAGTGGGAAAAAATGAGCTTTTTCAGTTAAACATACTCCTAAAAATAGGATTTTCTTTTGGGATTGCTACTAAAAGTAGACATTTACGTGAAGTAAAAGATATTCATCAGAACTGCTACATGAAGTTGTATTTTTGAAAACCTCTTTTCGGGTACCTGGGTGGCCCAGTCGGTTAAGCCCTGCTGACTTGGTTTCCCCTGAGATCCAGCCCGGCCTAGGGCTCCCTGCTGGGGGCAGAGAGGGTCTGCTTAAGATTCTCTCTCCCTCTGCCCTTCCTGCCACCTCAAACAAATCTTTAAAAATAAAAAAAAAAAAAAGTTTTTAAAAATACCTTTCTGGAATGTAATTAATGAACCTTATAGTCTACCCCGAAGATGTTTGTTTTTTCAAATTCCCTTTTTCAGTCAGGCACTTTACAGCTATTACCAAAAATAGTAATCCTATCACCTGGGGCTATTTTACATGTGAGGAAATATTTAAGAAACTTGTCAAAAATCATACCCAATAATGAGTGTGTCTTGGATTTCAATTTCTGTATAATCTAGAAGTCATAACTACTATGTATACATTAAGCAGAACATTTTCAAAACACATAGAAGAAAAATAATTCAATCCCATTACCCAGAGACAGAATAATTGTCTTTTATACATTTTTTCTTTTAGTCTTTTTATATGTATATGCTTTTTGAGCATACATTGAGTCTATATGGATAAGTAGAATTTAGAGCTAAATACTAACACTTAAAAGATCTTGATGCATATTGCCAGTGGCTTTCCAGAAAGATTGTAAAACAGCAAGATCAATGGATGAGAGTGCCAGTCTCATTTGCCAGCATTGACTCTTCATTAATGAATGATCCATGATTCACATTTAAATATTTGCCATTAGAATGTGTAGACTGGTGCACATATTAATTTTTTTTGATTCATTGCACCTAAAAAGTACCTTGCCACATGATAGTTAAATGCCAAGCTGAACTCTGTTATTAACATGTCATATTCTTGGTGTAAAAATACTTGTTGAATGCTTCTTATAGCTTACAGAAATGCCTCTGGTTCATAGAGCAATTTACTGTCCCTGACTTTTATTTTCGTATCTGGACAGCTGACACTGAAAGGAGACAGACCTGCTTAAAACCGTAATTATGTTGCTTTGATCTCCATGTAACTCAAAAACTTCCTTTGACCTTGGAGTTTGAAAAAGTAGTGGTTAACTTGAACCTCAGAAAGAAGGGGAAAGATGTTAAAATCTTCAGTCGGAAGACACAGAAGGCAGTTCATAAGACAGGTATTTTTATGTATAGTTAATCATTTAAGTTTTTAAACAATCTTGTGAAATAGCTATCCCCACTATGCAGGTTAGACGCTGAAGCTCAGAAATTTCAGCAACATGTGGTCACACAGCTAACAAACAGCATATTCATTTTCATATAGTACACTAGCTGCTATAAATAAACGATTATAGCTTTGTTTTAATCACTTCTTGGTCAAAGCAGTGATGTTGAAACAGTTGACTTTTCTTGAAGCTCTACAAATGTTAGCACTATAGCCATCACAATCTTTTTTTTTAATCAACAACAGTCCATTGCTACCCAGCTAATTAGAATTACATTGTATATAATGTATATATCTGTGCCAACCTGTACATTATGAACACTCTTTTTGTCTTTTTTTTTTTTAAGATTTTATTTATTCATGACACAGACACAGGCAGAGAGGGAGAAGCAGGCTTCATGCAGGAAGCCTGATGCGGGACTTGATCCCGGGTCTCCAGGATCACACCCCGGGCCGAAGGCAGCACTAAACCACTGGGCCACCGGGGCTGCCCAGTCACTCATTTCTAATACAGTGTGTGTCATCCAGTTGTCCACTCTGCAAAAATTTATAGACTGTCTATCATGACTCGTCCTGGTGCTATTCATCATTAAGCTTGAATTTACTGTCTCACTGGATAAATCACATAGCATAAGTATACGGCTTGATGATTGACTTGATACAAGTATAAAGTGTAGTAAGAGTCCAGGGAAAGTTTCATTTGTCAACCTTGCCTGAACAGTCAGGAAAAACTTAAGAAGAGGTGGTCTTTGAACAAATTCTTAGTTTGGCAGAAGTAAAGGCAAAAGCAACAGTCTAATGATTAGTCATGGAATTGCCAGTAGTTTAGTTGCAATAATAGGGTATTTGTGAGTGGGGAAGAGAAGTGATAGACAATAAGGCTAAAGCTTTAAGCAGGGACCAGAACATGAAAGTTCTTGTATAACACTTTAAGAAGTCTGGCTTTTATTCTGTAAGTAATAGGGAGACATCAGAAACGTTTAATTAGGTAAATAATGGAAAGCATTGTGGAAAGTGGCTTAGGGGATCCCTGGGTGGCTCAGCGGTTAAGTGCCTGCCTTTGGCCTGGGGTGTGATCCTGGAGTCCCAGGATAGATTCCCACATCAGGCTCCCTGCCTGGAGCCTGCTTCTCCCTCTGCCTGTGTCTCTGCCTCTCTCTCTCTCTCTCTCTCTCTCTCTTTCTCCCTCTGTGTCTCTCATGAATGAATAAATAAAATCTTTTAAATAAATAAATAAATAAATAAATAATAAAACTCTACTTAAATGACCATAAACCCAATATTGGAACTCAACACTGTCCAGCAACCTGACCGTGTGTATTAGTTTGCTAGAGCTGCCATAACAAAATTCACAGTGACTTGAACATTTATTTTTTCATAGTGCTTGGAAGATGGATGTCTGTTGGCAAATTGGTTTTCTCAAGAGCAATAGGAAGGATCTGTTTCAGCCCTCTTTGCTTGCAAATGGCTGCTTCACTGTTCATGTTTGTCCTGCTGCCCTTACATGTGTCTGGTATCTGCGTGTCTAAATTTCCCCTTCATATAAGGATACTAGCTATATTAGATTAGGGCCCACCTTCATAGCCTCATTAGTCACCTCTTTAAAGACCTTATCTCCAAATAGAACATTCTGAGGTACTGGGGGTTAGGACTCCAATGTATTGGGGGTCACAAATAAGCCCAGAACATGTTTCTCTGATTGCTGTAATTTCCTATTCAGAGGGATAACTAACCTTTTCTTCTCTCCAAAGCCTTCTACCTACAGGCCCTCCATCATCACTCTCAGCTGGGGACCTAGTAAAATATCAGTATATTTTACTGATAAAACTAAAACCCATGGAAGTGAATCCATTCATCTTCACCAAATCGACAAATGTACTAATTTTCTCTCCTTTGTTAAAATCAGGGAAAAATCAAGGATACATCAGTTGTCTAAAATGCAATGCCGGGATTCAGTTTTATGATGATGAATTAAACACATAGGTTTCTCTCTTCTCTCTCCCCAAACCTTGGTGAAATGAAAGTAAAACATTAAAAAAAATTTTTTTTAAAGATTTTATTTATTCATGAGAGACACAGAGAGAGAAGCAGGCTCCATGCAGGGAGCCTGACGAAGGACTTGATCCTGGGACTCCAGGATCACGCCCTGGGCCAAACAAAGGCCGACGCTCAACCGCTGATCCATCCAGGCGTCCTTACATTAAAAAAAATATTAACCCTTGAGAAGAAAGGGAAAGAAAACAATATAGCTATTTCAATGAGTATTTTGAAAGAAATAAAGATGTCTGAGATGTTGACATAAAAAAGGAAAGAAAGTTGTAATCTAAACATCTGTAGAAGAGCGGCAAAGAGCCTTCCAAGAAGCTCAGGTAGGAGGTAGCTGGATGATGAGCTCCAGCAAAACTATAGAGAGTAAAACAAGAATAAGAAAGGCATGGAACTGATACAGGAAAGCAGGGAAGGAAAGTACTAGTATAACTGTTTTGAAGTTGTCTTAGAAGTCAACAGGTCAGGTCGGAGCAGGAGGTTGGAAGACAGGATAATCTCCAGGAAAGTACAAGAAATGATGTGTTTAAAAAAAAAAAGGAATGAAATGATGTGTTTGACTTTACAGAGAGTATCATTGATAAACGGGGCAGAAATACAACTTTTGGGGAAGAAAATTCTTAAATACATGGAGAACTAGGCTATTGAAAGTGAAAGGCTATTAACAGGTGGAAAACCAATACACTGTATTATAATACACTATTTTGTAGCATTGAACAATACTTGATGGTTATAAATAAACTATTCATTACATTTTTTAAAATTGTAATTATGTTGAGATAAAGAAGGAAATAAAGGTAGTGGCGGTATGGGAGAATTTACTATGGTGTAATATTCATAAATAAGGTCTAAAATAGCTGAAAAGAATTGATACTCTTTCTGAAATTGACACCTACTCACTGAAAACAACTAAAAATCTATTGATTTTTTTATTTTTTTCTATTGATTTTTACATCAAACTCTTATTGAGCTATAATTTCTATGCCATCAAATCTACTTTAAATATTGTAGTTTAATGATATTATATATAACCATCACCACAATCCAAGTATAGAATATATCTATTATTTAAGAAGGTTCCTTTTTCCTTTTTTTTAGTCAGTCTCTTCCCAACCTTACCATTCTGCTCTCAGAAAATACACACACACACCCCCTCACTATACTTTGCCAGATAATAATTTTTGGGCTTTCATATAAATTGAATGATAAGATATGTGTATTTTGTATCTGGCTTTTCTCAGCATAATATATTTTTTAAAGATTTTATTTATTCATGAGAGAGAGAGAGAGAGGCAGAGACACAGAGGGAGAAGCAGTTCCATGCAGGGAGCCTGATGTGGGACTTGATCCGGAGACCCCAGGATTAGAATGATTAGAAGGAAACTTCCTGAACGTAACAAAGGGCTTCTAAAAATGTATAGAAAGCCTATTGCTGACATCACACTTAATTGTGAATGAACTGTTTCCCCCTAAGATCAGGAACAGCGTTAGGATGACTCTTCTCATTAGTTCTATTCAGTATTGTACTGGATGATATAGTAATAAACCACAAAAAGAAGTAAAATCAATCCACAAAGTAAGAAATAAAACTGTCCTTAACAAATGCCGAGTTTATCTATATAGAAAATGACAAAAATGCTACCGGAACCAAGTGAATTTGGTAAGGTTGCAGGAAAGAAATACTCAAAAATCAACTGTATTTGTATATACTATCAATGAACAAATTAATATTTAAAATGCCATTTCCAGGGGTGCCTGGGTGAAGCAGTTGGTTAAGCATCTGACTCTTGGTTTTGGTGGGGGTATGATCTCAGTATTGTGAGATGGAGCCCAGAGTTGGGCTGCTCAGTGTGGACTCGAGATTCTCTCTCCCTAGCCCTATGGCACTCCCACTCATGTTCACTCCCTCTATCTCTGAAATAAATAAATAAATTTTTAAAATGCCATTT